AAAAAAGAATCATACATTTATTATTAAAAAATTATATTTTTTTAGCCGAAAAGAGAAGAAAGTATGTAGATTTTTTTTTTTTGGCCTCATATATTTCTTAAAACAGTTTTTGTTTTTAAAAAAATTGAAAATGGAGAAAGAAACAGTTCTTCGGGTCTGGGCCCTCTGGGGTTCTGTTGTTTTACTCTCCCACAGTCCCATGTGACCATGTCCTCTTTATGGCTTTGTTTCAATTCTATTCAAGGAAAAATGTAGGGTACATTTGGGTCACACGCTCATACCCTTTTCTGGGGTATATTGAAGGGGAAACAAGATCAGGGCCCAATATTAGTAGGCCCATGTCGGAAATATTTTCGTCCAAAAGTTGATCGGATGATGGTTAGGGGTTCACGTCTATAACATTCTTTTTGGGGGCAATCAAGAAGGAAAGGTGAAGGGACCAGAGGAATGTTCTTCGGAGCTTCGGACAACAAATGAAAGGCCATGATTACTCCTTTATCATATTTTTTTTACAATGATTTTGAGATAATTTTTTATTATTTTTTATATAATATTTTTATATTATTTTTTTATAATTTAATGTATTATTTAAATAATTAATTTTTTATTTATTTGAGATTTATAATATTAAATATATTTACTCATATAATAATATAAAAAAATAATATAAAAAATTATCTTTATATCATTATTTTTTTCGTATTTTAGTTTTTTTTCTTTTTGTTTTTTTATTAGTTGGGCTCGGAATCAGAAGAGGAAAAAAAAATTGGGTTTCGGCTTTAAATTAAACTGAATAGAAATAAAGTAGAAGCAGAGCATTAGGCTTTTATTGGACCGGAAATGGGATATGATTTAAGGCCTACATGTAATAGGGTTAAGTTATTTACCAATGTTCTTTTTTGTGGGCCTCAAGGATGTGTCTTTTCTTTACTAATTTTTTTCTGAGGCCCAGAGTAGGGCCTGTGCCCAACCCTGGGCCTCCTTTCGTCCGCCCCTCATCCTTCGTCGATTAACACTTTGATCCTCATAGTTTTGATTTCTTTGATTTGGTTCTGAAAATCCTAATTTCTTTCAATTAAATCTTTTTTCTGCATAAAAAATAAAAATTATGTAAAAATCAAGTAAAATCTTATATCAATAATATCAAAACAAAAATTTCATACTAATATTTATAAAATTTTAACTTATCAATTGATAAAGTAAATATCTCGATAAGAGTGTTTGACATAACTTGACTAAAAGTCTACCGCATTAAAAAGTTCCTCCCTCTTAACTCCCTCTCAACTGAAGTCAAAGAGTTATCTTGGTGATTGCAATCATCACTGGTTGTTCAATGCTTTTTAGGTCTTGATCAAACATTAAAATCCATGAGAAAGGGCTCTTGCATCAATAAGAAAATAGGCCATTTTGATTCAAAGTAATAGAAATACTTAATGAGTTAATGTAATCACTCATGCTGTGTAGTACAATTTATTAAGTTTTAAGATTTTTTTCTGTGCTAAAAATATAAACCACTCACAAGGTTCTTTCCAAAGAAAATGTGACATTTTCTAAGGGGAATATACCACAGTATTCCAAGAGGTTATAAAAAGATTCATGGCTTAAGCAACATATATATGCGAGTTGTGGAGTTAAAGTGACCCAATCATATTTAGTCAATTTGCAATAATATTTGTAAGAACCACTGAACAACAATAGTGCTAATGAATGGATACAAGAGAAACTTTATATTGCCTTAATTAACAAATACTCACCTAATTGTATAACAGTGTAAGAAACAAAAGACTAAGCAATAGAAGTCTACCAAAAATGGATGCTTGCCCGTTGACAGTGATACCTGCACCCACATTATAGTAACTCAATAAGTACTAAATTAAAATGACTGTAATATAATCACGAATCAATCGTTGAGTATTAACAAACACGAACCATGTAGTTAGATTAGGAAAGTGACTTTAGCCTCACACTAGATTAAATTTGCCACAACTTGATGTCTTCATCCAATGCACTACAAAATTTTCCAAGAATAAAATGATTAAAGTTGCAGACATTGAAAATGTAATAAATCTAAGAAAAAAATTTGAAATTTAGAACCTAATTGAATATTTTTAATTTTTAATTTACACGGGACTCATTGGACATGGATAACTCTAGGAGACGAATTTGTTATAAGAATGAGATTAAATAGAATGAATACAGGTTGCATATTCTGTTTTTGGGTAAAAACTTGCATTTTCATCAGAACTACAGTCATCGAAATCAAAAGAGAAAAAATGGGTTTCAGCTTAAATTAAACGGAATAGAAATAAAAGTTATAGAAGAACATTAGGCTTTTATTGGACTTAATATAAGTAAAAAAGTACCAAATAATAATGTTAATAAGTTACACTTTCTACATTTTGACTCCAAATATTTGTAGGTATACAAAATTAAATAAAAAAATTAAAGTAAAAAGATATAATGACAATTACATATGCAAATAATGACTAAAATAAAATAACATAGGTAACTTTTTATATAATGACAGCACACTATTGCAAAGGATTTCGGATTAAATTAAACGGAATAGAAATAAAAGTTGGAGCAGAACATTAGGTTTTTATTGGGCCGGACATGGGTTGTGATTCAAGGCCTACATGTAATAGGGTTAAGTTTAACAATGTCAATTGCCATGTTCTTTTTTTGTGGGCCGAAACGATATATCCTTTCTTGACTAATTTTTTTCTGAGGCCCAGAGTAGGGGCCTGTGCCCTACACTGGGCCTTCTTTCGTCCGCCCCTCGGCGATGGTAATGATGGTAACAGTAGAAATAATCCCTCTTTCACCCCTAAAAAGTTTCATCATCAATCATTTTTGGCTTAATTTAATTTTTAGTCTATTAACTATCACCTTGATTTCATTTTAGTCTAGAAACTATGTTTTATTTCTAAGTGGTCTATTAACTTTCAGATTCATTTCAATTTCATCTACTTGGTCAAAGATAACAGAAAACTTCTTATTTTGTTACAGAACAATTAGTCCTCTTACTATATTTTTTTTATCTTTTAGTCCTTAAATTTATATTTGTTATAAAAATAAATTTTTTACTTAAAATTATTATTTATAGGCTCTGATATCAGATTTTTATATGGGTTTTCCTATTTCTTTAATTTGGTATCAGAGTCTAAAAGTTAATTGACCACTTAAAAATAATAATTTTAAGTATAAAAATCTGATATCAAAGCCTAAAAATAATAATTTTAAGTATAAAAGCTATTTTTATAACAAATATAAATTTGAGAATTAAAAGATTAAAAAAATATAGTTAGAGGACTAACTGTTCTATAACAGAATAAGAAGTTTTCCGTTATCTTTGACCAAACAGAAGAAATTGAAATGAATCTGAAAGTTAATAGACCACTTAAAAATAAAACATAGTTTCTAGACTAAAATGAAATCAAGGTGATAGTTAATAGACTAAAAATTGAATTAAGCCACCATTTTTTAATATTTAGTCTTTGATACAGTCTTTGTTTTATGTTGGTCTGTTATTTTACCAATAAAAGTTTAATTGAATTGTTTAATTTAAAATTTTGAATTTAAGATAAAAGAAAAAAATTAAAAATTTTGTATTGTTCAGTAATTATATATAAAAAAAAAATTAGTGCGCAATATTTAAATTTCATATACAGCTGTCAACTTTGGGTTCTTCTGCTTATAATTTGGCAAATTGTGATGCTTTTTTTTATCTAACCACCTACTGCATCAATATTTTTATATTTTTTTATAAGGATAATAATTAAAAAATTAATAAAAATTAATTATTAACAATTATTTTTTAAATCATATGAACATTTTATTTTTTTAAATGTGACGCACAACTATCAAATTATTTTTTAATAAAATTTAAAATTTTAATCACCTCATTCAAACACTTAAGATTTGAGTTGGAATCATTTCACCGAACCCCTTCGTTCCATCAATATTTCTACATTGACTCGCCGAAAGCAAGCTGTCCCTCACTTTATTAAAACGCACTAAAGACCTATAATTACTACTGTTACTTATTGTTGCTGCTTTATTGCTGTATGCCTATCAACTTTAGATTCTATTCTACCAACTTTTTCTTCTTCTTTTCCTTTTTCATTTTTTAACTTGTCCCTGATTTTCTTTGCAACTTCCAACCGGAAAGAAAAAGATCGATTCCCAAAACAAAACCCCTGTGCGTCAACAATTCTACATTGACTATTTGACTTGCCTGCTGGAAAATATAGGCCTTCTTTTTCTGTACTCAATAAGCTTTACCCTCCTGAGTTTTTCTTTGCTTATTCTCTTCGCAGCTTCCTCAGTCTAGCTACAGGCAATAGGTATGTTATCCACTATCATGTTTATATGTTTGTTGTTGTTGATAAAATGAAATTATAGCCGGTCCAGCTTCCTTAATTATTTTCTAATCTGTTATGGTTATTGTTATGTGTTTGTTCAGATCCGCTATCAATCTTGTGCTTCTTTTGCTTTGCCTTTACACTTCTTACCCTGTTCTTCGCTTATTCTCAGCTTCCTTAGCTTACGGTATGTCACCTACTCTTCAAGCTTCTTTTTCTTTTTTTTTTTTTTTGTTTCCTGTGTTGTTGTCGTTGATGCTAATCTTTATCTGTAATGGTTATTGTTATCTGTTTGTTTAGATCTTCGTCCGGCACCGTTTTTGTACTTCTTTGCTTTGCTTCCAGCTCCACATATTTTCAACGTCCTTACCTTATTTTGCCACCTGATCTGCAGGTATATACTACTTTTATACTACTCTTATCTGTTTTTCTAATCTATTGGATGTATGGAAAGGTTTAATTTCTGGTTGAATCTCTACTAAGCATATGCATACTTGATTTGTCTTCCACCATGACAAAAGTGCTTTTTCGTTACATAATATGACAAAAATGTGTTAGTTTAGTATGTTAAACAATTCAATCTTAACTAAGTATTTCTCACGGATTCCCTAATCTTTTGTATGATGGATAATCTTTGACACATACAGAACAAATGTAATATATACAAAAAGAACATAAGATAATCGAATGATTTGGTTTAGATAACCCAATATGAGGCAATCAATCCACCAAGTTGGTAAATATGTCTAGGAAGGTGGAACAATGATTGTTCACTTATTTATGTTTTTTTTCTTTATCTGAAGCAAACAAAAACTTAAGTACCTCAACTGGTGTCACATTTCAGGAATTTTTTCATGGCGGAAATTGCAACACTAATTTTTGAATTCATAAAGTGTGTAGCACCTCCAACACGAAGTTGTGTAGATAATCACAGAAAATTCAAAGAAAATGCAGAAGATCTGAGAAACAAATGGAGAATTCTTGAGGGCAGAAAAGAAGATCTAGAAACACGACTACAAGACGAGGTTTGCTCAGAAAAACAGGCCAAAAAAGAAGTGGTGGTATGGCTTCAAGATATTAAGAAGATCAATGCTGAAATTCAAGATGTTTTGAAAAGGGTGCACAGTGCTTCATACTTCTCACAAGCTCGCCTTGGAAAACTTGCTCGTGAAAAAATTGATGTACTGGATGCAATTCTTCAACGAGGCAATTTTCCTGAAGGACTGGTAGTTAATAAGCCTGCAACTAGTTTGCCTATACCAGTAGAGGATCTAGAAGGCGAGGATACCATGAAGGAAGAAATATTGGGATACTTGAAAGGCAATGAGGTCCCAATGATTGGAGTTTGTGGAATCGGGGGTGTTGGGAAGACCACCATTATGAAACATATTCATAATGAATTACTATTGATGGAGTCCAGATTTGACAAAGTGATCTGGGTCACCGTCTCATATCCACTCAATGTTGTTAGATTACAACATGAAATTGCTAAGAGAATGAATGAAAGCTTCCCAGAGAATGAGGATGAGCAGAGCCGGGCTTCAAGATTGATGCAGATAATGGGAAAAGTGAAATATGTGTTGATATTAGATGATGTGTGGCAGAGGTTTACTCTCACAGATGTTGGAATATTGAGTCCCACAAAGGAAAATGGTTGCAAAATAGTTATTACTAGTAGAAAGGTGGATGTATGCCAGTTCCTTGGTTGTGAAATAGTTAAAGTGCCTCCTCTTTCAGAGGAAGAGTCTTTGAATTTGTTCTTAGATAAGGTGGGAAGGGAAATTCTACAAAATCAAGAATTGGGAGAAATTTTGAAGCTTATGGTGAAGG